ATTCTATTCTATTCTATTCTATTCTATTCTATTCTATTCTATTCTATTCTATTCTATTCTATTCTATTCTATTCTATCCCATCCCATCCCATCCCATCCCATCCCATTCTATTCTATTCTATTCTTTTCTATACATCTCCTTGTGCTAGATGAAGGGTAGAAGTGTGAACATTGTCTAGGATTACAGAATGAATCATAAGCAAACCTTCCTCATTTTTCAAATCCTATTGAGTGAAAATGAGGATTTAAAACTGAGGAAGATTTGCTTATGATTCATTCTGTAATGCCAAACAAGGCAAATTTATTGACCTCTGAGTTAAGGTTTAATCAGGTTAAATCACATAATTTTCAAGAATTCAGAATATCATGTAGGGCATACTGCCTTCAACAAGAGGATTCACTAATATCTGACTATCACATACCTTTTGCTGGGTATTTTCTTACCTACTATGATTCATATGGTATCTGTACTATTAATAAACATAATAATATAAAATACATAATTTATCAAATTTATATATCCACCCATCTCACAAAAATGTCTCTGGGTGGTATACAACCATTAAATAAAAGAAATCTAAATCATTATTAAAAATATAAAAATCATTATTTAAAAAATATAAAAATCACCAGGCACAGGAGAGAGTAGATATTAACAAAGATGAAGCCATCTTTTTCTTTCAACATGTTAAAAAAAAAGGAAACAATTGGTCCAGTAATGAGAGAAAGTGGCAAGAAGGTGAAAAGTAACAGGGAGAAAGCAGAACTGCTTAACTCTTTTTTTGCATCCATCTTTACACAAAAGGAAAAAACACTCCAACCTATTAAAAACAGTACCGTAAAAAATAGATTAGGAAAACAAGTTAAAATAGGCAAGAAAGTGGTACATGAACACCTGTCTACCCTAGTCGAGTTCAGATCACCAGGACCAAATGGATTACATCCCCAGGTTCTGAAGTAACTGGTAGACGTGATCTCAGAACTACTAAACCATATCTTTCAAAGATCCTGGATCACTGAGAAA